TGTGTGTGTGTGTGTGTGCTTTTAATATTGGTGTTTTACGCCCCCATCGACGCAAACTGGAATATTCAGGAGGCAAGCTTCAGACCCTGCATGTAAGGCGCAACTCGAGCTGAGAGGGATACCAGATTCCCGCAGAAAGACTGAGTTTTCTCCCGACTCGGGAATCGAATTCGGGTCCTCTGTGAAGGGCAGTGAAGCGCCTAACCTCTACACCACAAATTATGCCGGTGAGTGCAAATTGTTTTGTTAACTACTCGCAAAGAACTTTATAGGATTACTCGCAACCTAACAATGGCACACATAATTATGCATATTCATATTGAGTACTCACATCGAGGGACGGGAAATCCCGGAACGGAGGCAGTTTTAACATCTTCATGTTGGGAGCCTCCATGCTGGCTGGGATGTCAAGGTGTGTCAAACCTAGCTCTTTCTCAAACAGCTGTTTGGCCTTCTCTGCCAGCTCGCTCGTGTAGCCCACTATCTTTTCCTGGTGGACAAGAAAAAGACAACGCTCTTCTCTAATTCGTTTGTTTCATGTTTTGATAAGCGTTTTACGGTATTTGCAACATAATAAGGTCTTAAACGTGCAGTAGATTTGAAGTATTACGATAGAGTTACAACCACAAAAAAGAAAGAGGAGAGATAAGGATGAGATGTTTAACAGGAAACAAGAGCAAATTTTATTCGTACCAAAGCACCCGCCAATCGTTCACTGGTTTCAGTTCGTACCGAGTACGACTAAATATCAAACAAATAAGGTCACTTAACCTCTTTACAATGTATGGTTTGAACGTCTTTTTCCATAGCAAAGGGTTCCTCAAAGGACTCACCATGCCCCCTAGAGCTTTGTAGAACTGCAGAGCGTTTCTGGCGCAGACGAGCGGGATGAGGTCCCGGGTTCCGAGGTCAAAGAACTGCAAGTCCAGGGACCCTCCTAAGTGCCATGACGTCACCAGAGGATGCAACCAGGTGTGTTTTGGGGCACAGTGAAGTAGGGCACAACCACGCGGACAGAAACACCATTTGTGGAGGTTGGCTGGAGATTTTGAAAAAGATTTTGAAAAAGAAATAAATAAACAAAGAATTCAAAAACTTTAAAAAATACACAATTACATAACACATAAATATGTAAATACATAAATAAATGAATAATCCGCTTTTTATCAAATGGCGTGTGGAAAACTTGGTTTACTCTGGCGTAACAT